TGGATAATGCCACTACTAAGTAATAACTTAATAAATACTACAGAAGTTTTTAATGGAGAAAATGGGGACAGGTGACACATTGCCATGTAAGAGGGGCAGGGAACTGTAGTAATATTGTAAACCTGCAGATCCTTTCTTTTCGGAACTTATATTTTTTGTGAACCAAAGAGTCTCTCTCAGAGCATAGGTGAAAATGAATCTTACAGTACTAATGCACATGTATGTATTTTCTTGCTCAGCACTGGACATACATGATGCTTTAAAGACAGTATAGAGTTTTGTTATGCAAAATGGTTATTTTTACTTTATCAGCTTTGTAAGAAGGAGTCCCAAAACACATACAATAGAAAGAGATTCAAGAATTGCTAAAAATGAAATGATTACAAGTCTTTTAGTCTGAAACACAATTGAAATTTTGCGGACATAGGAGTATAAATGTGGACACTTAAGAAACAGCTCCATTCCCTCTTCTAGGCAATCCTAAATTCACTTCTTAATCAAAAGACCCGACTACTCTTAAGTTACAACTAAAATGAAATATTCAGATGCTCGTCAGTTTGCAGTACATTCTTAATGCACACAAGCATGTCAACTTTATTCTTTTTCTAGCAGCATGTATGGCTGGTTGCAAGAGTTGCCATTGGTTTTGTCTGGAACTTTAAAGCTCCAATAATCAAGGACGTCTTCATTCCAGAGCGTAGTGCTAACATAAGTTCTCAGAGTAGATCAGTGTGTGCTTCTTTACTTGAATTCTGGAAAATAGCTGGAAGTTTCTTTTTGGATTTTGATGTAGAAATTTAGATTAATTTATTGCTTTACATGTGGCCAAAAGTGGGGGAGGTTTTGGTCGCTTGTCTTTAGTGGTTGTGATGACAAATATTACTCTTAGTACCTACTTGCTCAAATGTCTTTTTCCATTGGATCTAAATTAAACAAAGATATTTTCTACCTTTCCTGCTGTCTGCTCTTCAAACTTCATAATTTTTCCAGTTTTTCTAGAAACCGATACTTTAGCTTTTTTCTCTTTGTTTCCACTGGAATATAACAATTGCATTAAAACTGACAGATGAGAAAAGTGTTAACAGAAGACAATTATTGCTGTGGAATAGTGGTTTTTTTGTAAAACAATTTTTTTTTTTTTTTTTTTTTTTTTTCCCCTACACTAAAGAGGGGATGTCTGCTTGTAAACAACAGTATTTTAGGTACTCGGACTTGGACCCAAGCATGGAGTAGATCTTCCTTTACTGATGCTTCTGATTAGTCTTACAGAAAGAAGTCATTGTTAGTAAAGGCTGATAAATACGCGATAGAAAACCCGTATGTTACTTTGTGGGATTACATAGTGCTGCTTTTCAATGATCTTGGTCTCCTAAAACCCAGTTTTTAAATTATTATTAAAACCTTGCTTGGCAATCCTGAGTGGTGATTAGGGTTCTGCTATAAATATTTAAAGTGCATTTGTGGCTTTCAGCTAATTAAAGGCAGTTTCCCCAGGACTGAGTGCAGCACTTACTCCTGGAGAGTTGGATGCACATACCTGTCATGGGTGAGTGGTTTGATCTGGGAGTTAGTCTACTACTGGCCACGAATGTAGAAATAGGTCACTGAGCAGATGTTTTCTCGTTTGCCATTTCCTGGCAGGCTAATGAATCTCTTTTGGCTACAAATGGGAACAGCTTTATGAGCCGCTTTATCACTGCAGGAGTTTTGAAAACAAAGATTTACTGGAAATAAAAGCCAGCAGCGCACAACTTGTTGTCAACCTCTGTTCCTTACCGGTGTTTCATCTGTTCAATAACTAATATTCCCCATAGCTAATGGTACGTCTGCACTGCAAACAGGACGTAGAAGGTATTAATACTAACTTTGAATGGTCTAACGTGGGCTTTGGCAACAAAGTCATCAGAATAGCATCAAAGTTGTTAAGGGTTGATTTATGCTAATGAGAAGGATTATTTGTTGAGGTTTTTGCTATACATTACACCTGTAAAGCGTGCTGCAGTTTGAAAATATGAACGTACCACAACCTTTCAAAGTAAGAGATGGGACACCTCAGAATATCAGGCAACTTCACTGATTTGCTAAAATACGGGGTTAGTTTGGGTTAAAAAGGAGCGTTTTGAAATCTCCTGAAAACCAAGCACTTAATGACTAAGGCGTTTGGTTTCTCTTCATGCTTGAAAAGAGTATTAGCCTCCACAATAATGACTTGGATATTAGTGAAAATGCAGTCTTCTAACTGAAAAAATCCCAAGATACCAAAAGAATACCCTTACATTGCAGCGTTACTCTAGTTTTTAGTTTTACTTGGTGCTAGTTCTGGTGTACGGACATGACACAGCATGACACCCGAGCACGGACGAGGAGCGGAATAGTTGGTGCTGCGGGGACTCGATTTGGGCTGGAGAGTCCTGCGTCTCGCTGAGGCTCTGCATCACTCCGAGGGCAGGAGGCGGCTGGTTCAGTGCCAGATGGGAACCTGAACGGGGTTAACGGGTCAGCTGTCCCTGAAGCATCGGTTTGTCCCAGTGGCAAGTCTTTTTCCAGGCTTCTCTGGTACCCTGGTCGGCTCTGGATGCTCTGACTGCTTCACCAGTTGCTGGAACGGACTGCACCAGCCTCTTTTAATCCGGTTTTATATTCAGCTTTATCCGGCCACTCAGTTTGACTTGATTGGATTTTTTCGTTCAGATTTCCTTATCTGGTGCAGCATGGTAGATAAGATATTTAACATGACGCAGTGGTGATAAAGCTGTTCAGCAGCCCAAATTCATGCTACTGCTTTCATTATATAAACTTAATCAGTTCTTTATACATTGTAATGTGTCTTCTCTTAAAGATTAGCTTCAGTCATATGCCTTTTGTACTCTTGATTAGTTGAATATTTGCATATGTGAAGTGTGGTTTCAAGTGCTGTTTTTTAGCCTGAAGTGAATGTAGTGTTGCTGTTTGTCTTTAAACATTACGCTTGGGCAATTCTCAACTTGCAAATCCTGTTCCATATTCCAGGCTCGGCCGCAACTGCTTTTCACTGTCTCCTGCTTATAGCTTGCTTGCGTGCTGCTTCTCTGTAGACTCTATGATTCCACTACTTGATTGGCAAAACTATAATAATTACTTTCAGGCCTTCATGGGATTACCTTGTCCTAGGTTAGATAATCCCTTAATTTATGAATATGATATGCAGATTGAGAAGAACTGTTATGGGAGGATGGAAATGTGACGCAAATGTCTATAGTGCTGATGTCCCCCCAGCCACCAAATGAAATTCCGTTTACCTGCTTCTGTGTGGTCAGTAGCTGTTACCTGCTGTTCACCTGTGAAAGCTATCAAGCTTAAATTCTCTTAAAATCTAAAGCATACCAAAAAAAACCCCCCTAAAAAACCCCCAAGCTACAAAAATCCCACTTTATCTTTAGAAACTTGAAAGTATTCCTAAGATGTTCCATTATCACAATTTCACGCATTTGCATTTAATTGAAATCTTAGTAAGGAACATAGCGTTAGAGCTCATAGTTTAATATATGTAGTTACCAACTCATTTTTCTGACATCTTTATTTGGTTACAATGTGGTGTCATCGGAATAAACAGGATCCCTGTGTTCCTATAGCAACAGAATGCTACAGTTTGAGAAACTGCTTCATTGCAGCAGATGTATCTGTAACTCTTCTAATAACCTGAGGATTTTAAAACAGTAAATTTAAAAATTAGGATCTGTTTCATATTTCTGCAGGTAAAATTTGGTTTAAAAATTAAACCTTATAAATATCTTCCCTGAAGCTCTACACCACCTTCCAGGATAGGCATAGTTTCTGAGTTTGTAATAATACTGAATATATATATATTCTATGAATATTCTAGCTATATAAACTATGGAACTGGTAGGATTTTCTGTAAGAAATATGGGGTATTTAGACATGAGGTAGGGGGTTTTATGCAGCTTTCAGTTTCCATTTAGTGTAAGCTGGTTTTTTTAAACTAAGTAAAAACACGTCGTCCAAATTGGATATTTTGATCCAACATAATGACCTGCTCTGTAATAGCTTCATTTATTTTTAAATTTTCTTTGGAGATAGTAGAGGTAATACAAGACAGTGTTGAAGTGTCAGCTTTATAGCTCTGAAGATCTTCTACACGTTTGGTAAATGTAATCCAGCTGCATTTTTGTAGTAAGGGGAATAGAAAGATAATATTTCCATTAAAGTGATCAACTATGCATAAAGAAGTAGGATAGGAAGATGTATGAAAATGCATTTAGAGAAATCCTATTTTCTTGAGCAAACTGCATCTGTTGCATATATAACTTAGACCTTTTGGATAATTCTGGAAGCGCTGGAAGTCTAGTGGTGCCAATAGCAATTTTACACACTGATTCCTAGGAAAGAAGTGTCACCTGTCTGGAAGGTCTGGCACCTACTGCTAGAATGCGGCTTTATATTAACCCTAAGCTCTTTACTCCTTTGGAGTGCTCTTAGAGAAGACTTAATTAGAACTTTAATTAATGTATAACTTTCAGAGTTATTTTGCATTCGTCTTAATAAAAATACTCTGTTACAGTGAGCAAGAACAAAGGCACTCGCTTCTCTCCCCCTCCTCTGGGACAGTGTGCCTTCGTGCTTCAGGACATTAATGTTTCAATAGTCACATGGGATAAAATTGAACAATGGATGAAACCTAATTATTTTTCTTAGGCCTGTGATATGATCTTATCTAGGTTCATTTTCTTATATTCTGTTCTAGTGAATTTCATTATAAGTCCCTTATTCCTACCTGACAGATTTCCTTTAAAAATCATACTGGTAAAAAACAAAGGGGGAAAAAAAAAAAAGAAATACTTTGTCTCCTCTTTTTGTTTCTTCTATGTTGTGGTTTTTTTCCCCCGCCTCCAAAATTATTGAAAAAAAGAATGAAAATCATGTCTCTCAGCTGCCTCTGCCCCCTCCCTTCCCAGCTGTTCTTGCTTATTTTCTTTCTCATTTCTTTCCTCTGTTTTGTACAGATATCCTCTTCTGATGCTGCTCAGCCTTTGGCATCCTCTCCTTCTCTGCAAGCTGCTGCTGAGAAGAGCAAAGCAGAGGTATATTGTTTTTGGGTGTAACTCTTGTCAGGTTGCTGCTTTGCACAAATGTTTACATTTCTATAGAGTAATTTGACTGAGTTACCTAGAGAATTTGAATGGTAATCCTTCAGGCATTTAAAATACTTCTCTCTCTGCTTCCTGGACTAGATAAATGAAAAGAACCGATACAGCGGGATAAAGCATATGCATGATTGTTACCTCTTGGTGTTTATATGTCAAAATTCTGGTTCTGCTCTGGTTTAGTGTCACAAAACTGTGGAAACACCATTTCATTTCCAGCTAATGGGCATGAGTGACATTGTCCTGTCTACTCAGGAATAATTTTTGGTATCTTTTTTTAATACTACTTGCTTTTTTCAGAATCTAAATTATCAGTACTGTTCCAGCCATTTAGTTCAATCTCCTTGCTGATAAATACAGAATTAATTCGGTGACACTTCTATTAATTCATACGGGGTTTAATATCCTTCTAGCTGGGATATATGTGTATGTGCTGATGTTACATTTACTGTTTAGAAGGGCCTTTGAAAAACTTAACACACAAACAAATAGTAGATGAGGCATCGCTTGTATGAACTTTCAGTAAATGTCACAATTTGCAACAATAATGAAATACATTTTTTTTAGAATGTGAATGCTCGATGTTAGGCTCTTTTGGGTACTCAACTCTAAATTGAGACTGTATACAGTATATGAAATAACTTACGATCTAAACATAAATCATATTTTTTCTTCTAAATACAGAAAATGTGGACAGATGTTATAAATTATTTAAACATTAATTAAAATTAATATGACAGTGTTATGGACTGGACCGCAGGCCTTGGTGAATTTGACATGTTTTTTAAGTTGTACCAGGAATAGCTGCAGCCACTTACAATGAAACTTGCCTTTCCTTTCTTACCTGCCTCTCTTGATGCATTCAAATTTGAAAGTTCCTCTGTGTGACTGGTATGCTATGTTGTTTGAAATGAATCTTTGGGAAAAAAAAAGCTGAATAATTTTTCCTTAGAATTTAAGACCAGTATAAAGCCAATTTAATTTTATTATCTTCATAGTGCTTTTTTGACTGCTTTTGCAAGTAATGAAACACTTGAGTTGAAGTTCTGGCATGAATACAGTATCTGAGAAATGTTTTTATTTAGTCTGAATTCATTTTTATCTAATGGAGCTGAAGCAGAAAGCTTGCATATTGAAATTGTGAAGTGTGAAGATGAAGGACTTGTGGGTTTGCAAGTCCACCGTGAAAATGAAGTGAATGAAAATAAAGTCTCTGGGAATCAAGAGAGTTCCTGTAGGCTTTGTGAGGTGTGGAGGCAGAAACACCCGTGAACAGTTTATTTTAAGTCTTCGTATATTCACTGTGAGGCTGACAGGGATTTGTTAAGGGCAGTGAGAGGCATTTATTTATATTTGGTCACCTGTATGGAGTGTTTGCCATATGAAACTTACTGCAAGCCCTCCTCATTCTTGAAGTCCTGAAGAATAAGTTTCGAGATACTTTTTTCTCTAGAAGCGAGGTTTCTCTAACAAAACATATTTTAAAAAAATGTTGAAGTCAAACTGGAAATCCGGACATCCTGAAGATGATCATATGCAAAAACTTGAACTCTGCTTTCACTTAAAACTGTTCAAGTAAACTTAAGGTACTGTGTTCGAAAAGTAGGTGTACTGTTATGAGACTTCCAGCCACCTTTCCCAGGAGGAAAGGAAACAAATCGCAGTTGTCTAAGATGTAGAAAAGCTTCCACAGGAGAAGAGATTAGGTTTATTTGAATTATTCAACTTGGGAAGGTTGGAGTGGGGAGCAGGGACAGGGAATGAATGACTTTTGGAAAAGTTACTGCTCTGACAGCGTATTTGTGTGCCGTACACGATTAAGGTCACAGGATTTTGGGAGTCTTTAGAATGTAGGCTGGTACTACGAGCTGTGACACAGTAATGGAAGAAAGGCTGAGCTTCACTTGAAAGGCACGACTATGCATTTGTAGTCTTAGTTCAGTAAGCTTGCAAGTCTCAGGTTATTACGATGGCCTCAAAATAAAACACTGCTCTATACTTGTCCCAGTCATACAAACTTTTTCTGGAACACCTGGCATTGCCACAGGTGAGATACAGTGTTGGCTGGACCTCTGGTTTGGACTACTAGGCTTATTTTTGTGTTCTTAATGTTCACTAAAATCTAAGTTGGTCTCTGTTTCTTTTCTTCAAAACAGACATTCCAAATTCCCCTTTACTGCAGTTGCAATGAGTGTGGTTGTTGTTTTCTGTTGCTTGTGTGGCACCCACATTTAGGCAGGTGCTTGGTGTGATAGTCTCACTTTCCAGGACCTGAGTGTTCAGGTGAATGCCTGATTAAATAATTCACAGGTGTTAGCTGGGACTTGAGTAACCTCAACTGAGTAACCCCAATCCATCTGGTAAATATGGTGAAAGTTTTGAAAATTGATTTAAGGTTGTGAAGAATGTGTTACTTGGGTCCCCCCATGCCCAGTCCCCGTCCCCTTCCCCCCC